TGTTGGGGGTGGGCGTGTGAGGCAGGAGTTGCAGAAGTGTTTGACTGCAGGGTAGGGAAAAAAAACAGGTGTGTGCACTGCTCCACCTCAATAAGATTATACATACTTTTTTATAGTCCAGATAAGATAAATTTGCTCGAGGCTGAATTTACAATGGATTTAAACTGAATTTTAATGTTATTTACTCTCATTTTATAGAGATCAAATATTAAGGGTTTATTCGTTTCTCCTCATGCCATATGTTTACTTAGTATAAATCGTGAGGGGAAGCGGTGTTCAACATGGCTCCATGTGTTTTCTACAGACGTTTGACCTCAGTTGAAAAGCTCCAGGTAAACAAGTCATCCCAAGCGTCCCCCCTTCAGTTCCAAACAGCTTGTGTCCCATCAGTACGCGTGTTTTGCCAGGACTGATGACAGGAAAACAGTCTCAGCTTGTGTTCATAATAAGGTGAGGGAACATTTATTTTCCTTATTGACTGGAAAGAGCCCAAATAATACCAGCTTGCCACATTTGAGCCGTTTCCAGCCACATCCTGCCATCTACTATCTATTATAACGTGTGCATCCGAAGCACATGCCTCTCTCTGTGAAGTAATTGCATGCATGTTCACCTCTCCGGCTCTTTATAACTACAGGGTGATGAAAATTCCAGTGTGGTACAGGTTAGGTTTCATTATTATTTGAATGCATCACTCTTCTCAGAGGGGAAGCTCGCTCTGATAACCTGATCTGTCTTTGGCGATCCTCCCACCAAGCTATGGAATCATGGCCACGATGTGGAGGTCATATCATTGGCTGATTTTGACCTCTGACCCCTTTGACAGAGCTTTGGAATGATGACTTGCAGCCCTGGTTTAACCCTAGAGGACTGTCGGGCCTAATTATTTCTCAACTTTGAGCCCTGAAAATGCCAGGAGTGAGACGTTGCTGATAGGTGACTGTCACCACTGGCGGTAAGGTCATTGCTGCTAATGCAGAGTGGACCTGTCTCAGATGATTGGTTAAGGGCTGGTAATCTATGCACTTGCGTACACCTCTTACTTTATCACTGGGGAACACAGAGAGGAGACAGAATGAATAGTGGTCTGGCCTAGAAAGCATTTAGAATTGAATTAAGAATGTATTTTAATTGAGGCAGCCAACAGGATGCAGAGTTGCAGTTTGAAGTTGAATGTACGTAAGTAGAAGTAATACTAATTCAAAGAAATTCATATGATAAGTAATTTTTAACTAGAAAAGAAAAGTTTGTCAGGACAAATCAGAATGTTGAATTGACCTTGTTTTAAAAAAGACATTTTTGAAGTTTAAATGTTTATAGACCAATAGATAGCTAGAATATATATATATATATATATATATATATTTAAATGTTTTTCTGTGATGGCAAAGCTGAATTTTCAGCGGCCATTACTCCCGTCTTAGGTGTCACATCTGAAATGATTTTGATATTCCGATTAGGTGCTCAATTATTATAAATTATTATTGGTGTTCAATTATTATTAATGGTTATTATTATTATCTATGTTGGCAACAGTCTTTGCAGCTTAATTTTTTTGTGGAAACTGATAAATTTTTTCAGGATTTTTCGATTAATAGAAAGTTTTAAAGATCATTTATTTAAATACTAATCTTTTGTAACAAATTTCTTGTTACAAAAAAGTGTCACTTTTGATCAATTTAATGCAGATCAATTTTATATCCCAAACTTTTAAATGTTAGTTTATCATGTTTTCCACAAACTATTAAGCTGCACAACTGTTTTATGCATTGATATTATTAAGAAATGCAAATCAGCATATTAGAATGATTTCTGAAGGATTATGTGACACTGAAGACTGGTGTAATGATGCTGAAAATTTAGCTTCGACATCACAGGTGTCACGGTTTGCCTACGGTGAGGAGCGAGGAACAAGGAGAACGCAGGAGAATCAGGATTAACAGTCTTTATTGACATCACAGGAATCACACGTAGGACACGGGGATCGACGTTCAAGCAGGGAACTCAGGAGTCCGTGGCGGAGCAGGGAGCCCAGGAGTCTGTGGCGGATCAGGAGACTCGGTAGACCATGGCGGATCAGGAGACTCGGTAGACCATAGCAGATCAGGGAGCTCAGCCACTCGGCCCGGCCACTACAGATGGCCCCATACTACCCCCCC